TTTTTTTTCTTCATAAAACTATGCGAAAAATTCGATTTCAGTAAGTTCGCTGTTGCTGCAGCATGTTGTAGTTCCTAAATTTTTGCCCATTTAATTATCCGAGGAAATCTTTCAGACGCATTGCCCATATTCTTGATGCCACACGTACTGCCTCTGGCTACCCTCCAATAACAGTTTATCGACGAAGGTAATACTTAAAAGCAAGGTTTACGTGACTGTATTAGCTGGCTCTTGTTGTTGTCGTCCCTACGCACGCCTGGCCGAGCCCAGGCACGTCTTCTTGTTGTCGTTTATGGACACGAAACAGCTACCCTCGGCGTCATTAACTGCCGGCAAACCCGTACAATCGCGCGCGCGCCGTCGTTGCAACACCCCAGCTCGATCGGGGTTTGCCTTACAGCCGCAGCTTCGGGTAGCTGCCTAAACTGCCTTTACGGACTTCTCCGCACAGGCCACCGGCGCACAATACCAATACGCAAAAGAAGGACGAAGACGGATGCCTCGGAAGCCAACTGACCTGGCCAAACGTGGGCCGCTTTTGAAAAATATGGCCGCTCTCAACTCTGGCCTATGCGACACTCTAATCAGATGGGATCCAAGCCGCCCATATTTTCTTTCTGTGAAGCCGGAGTCCATCGAACGCGGACGATGCAGGTGTGTGGCACGCGTAGACGGTTCGCTTAGCTTTGTCAGCCATTATGCTTCATCTCGCCTTCTTTACAAATGACTTGGATGGGAAGGTGAAGGACGAGACGCTGCAGGACACACAGTGGACATCCTTCGACGAACGATAAGTGATCGATAACGGATCTCCCTTGTCCCACTCTGCCATGGGGCTCATTCTCGAGCACCGCCAACATAGCGGCTAGAAGTTTAGGCAGAAATACATTACCGACAAAGACTAGGGAGACTGGAGTGGCCATTTCTGGCTTACTAACCATCATCAGGCAGTCATACCGAACGCCAAGTGGTGCGAACCCCGAGATTCGACCCGCAACTTTTTGATCAGAAGGTTAACGCTTTAACCATTGAGCGCATGACTAGCTGATGACGACTAATGAGCCAGAAATAGTCATTCCAGTCCCCTTGTCTTTGCGGGCAATGACCACATCGTCGTTCACGACAACTGAACTGACGTGGACGTGACGGTGGTTTGCAGATAATGAGGTACCTCCGCTCGTGGAAATTTAGCGCACTCCTTTCTAACAGTGGAGCTGATGGCCTTTCAGCAAATAAAAGGTAGTAATGTCCTCCACGGTCTAATTGTCACAGCAAAACGGTTCCTTATAAATATCGGACGACGAAGTTATGTACTTAGTTAAAGATGACAGCGTGTTTGCAATTCGAATTTCGCAGTTGTTATACTGACCACTCAATCCATTAGGATAGTCTGTCTGCCGAACTCTGCCGCTTGAATTAGACCGCACACATCACGTTTCAACGGCATGACAAGTCAAAACGGCTGACGGTGGGCGTGAACAGACTAGCAGACGGGAGCGAAGTAGCCTCTACGCGTATAACACACGTTCTGGTGCACAAGCTCACAGATTTCGGCAGGATATTCGAAAGGTCCTTTTTGAGGACCAGTTTCCGCGAACGTGTGTCGTACGCGTAGATGCAACTCCCGACCACCAGTTTTTCCAGGCCCATAATCAGTCACTTTGACTTGCCTTGCCTTTGAAACACGATGGGTGCTAGGCGGATAGTATTGCCGCCAAAGAGAAGGCAGACTGAAATGACCATTTCTGGCTTATTATTAGTCGTCAGTCAGTCATACCCAGACCCAAGTGGTGCACCACCCGAGGCTCGAACTCGTGATCTTTTGATCAGAGTCAAACGACCTAACCATTGAGCCACGAGCTCGTTGTCTCACTAGTTTAGGTCAGGGGATATTGGCACTTGTTGATTAATGTTCACCTGACCGCTAATAGAACTCATCTGTCCCACCTCGACAGATGGGTTTAAGCGAGTCCATGCGACAGAGTTCGGTAAACGGACTATCATAATAAATGAAACTTTTAGGTGTAACAACTGTGAAATGCGAATATCAAACATGGTGCCATCTTCAACGAAGTGCATAATTTCGTCGTCCGTGAAAACCCAACGCTAGAACAGGTCGCTGTCCAACTAAGTCACCTGCATATGCAGAGAGTAGCTCCTACAAAATAAAAAGACCAACGGCAAAACAGTGCCCTCAACCGGGCCGTCTGTTGTGATTCGTTACCAAACGGGCGCCAAATTGATAGGGCTTAAAAACGAAGGTTTCCAGTGGCCCGATTAGCGAAGGTCACGGCCTTTTCTTCCTACCACCTCGAGGAAATTTCGCTCTTCAAGGTCAAACGCGGTGTACCTCAGGTCTAACTAACAGAAGCTGTAGCTAAGACGCCAGTGGCAGAAAATGCAGAGAGGGCATGGAGAAGACACCCCAACAACTTACCGGTCGTAGTCTTGAGGAAAGAACTGGGAGATCCGCCGCGCGGCATTTTCTCTCGGCGCTTTGATTCGATCCCGACAGATGAAAAAAATGTTCTACAAGAGGCAGACAAAAGCCCGACTGATTAAAAGGCATATTATTTAGGAAAGAAATTAACTGACTGTAGACGAGTGCTTTTAACTTACAAGGGAAAATCAAAATATATCGGAAACGAAAAACCTTTCATCCAAACAAAATGAGACAGATAGAGAGAGAGAGAGACCAGCCGGAGGCTTTTGCTCTACAGTGAAGACATTTTTACAAGGTGTTCTTGTGTCGAAAAGTATGGCCACGATTTTAGATGATGAAAAAGCGGCAAGTTAATTTCAAGTAACATTTATTTAACATGGATAGGACCTTCAAAAGAGCTGACGTCATGGTAAAAAAAGAAAACGGATGCTTTCTGACGTGACCTTATGAGGGTTTATCATAGAGTATAATTAATTATCCAGCGGCCAATACGAAGAAACTATTTCCTTTAGGATCGCCAAAAAATTGAAAAGGGAGATTAGAAGAAAAATAACTCCCAAATTATAAGTTTGAGGGGAGGATTTGCTGATCAAAAAATTTAATTTAGCATCACTCCGCTTGTGGGATTCAATTCGTGCGAATTATAGAAAAGCTGCCCTTAATGTAATTGGCTAAGGGGTCGCCTAAAAGAGTTCACGTTACAGGCGAGCGATGAGAAAGAGTAGCTATCTACTCACCTAGCTAGGGGATGTGAAAGGCGTTATATCAGGGGTGAACCAAAGCGAGGGAGGTTTGCGGTTCGATTCCGTCCGACGGCAAGCATTTTGTGGCTAAATGATTATCCCGATCAGGTGCAGTCCATCAGGAAATCATACTTCCTAATAAAATTTGACTTTCTCCTTGGTGGTGATTGGACACCATGGGCTGGCTTTAGTTCGTCTGGAATATCTAACAAATGCCCTCGGTTTTCTTTTTTCCCGTCCACTTTCAGCTCCTAACTTCTGGCATTTCAAAGAGCGCGCCCACGCCTTTATGCTTCATTGGTGTATTCAAACAAACTACTGGCGCTAATTTAATGTTTACCCTTTTGCTATCTTTCGGTTTAGTTTACCCCACTTATAAAACAGCTCCTACCAGCAGTTCAGTAGTTCAGGAGTCCTTGCGCCCCGGTTTCTGATTCAGGCCACATATGCGCTCGTCGTCGGGGCAGGGACGGCGACTTGCACGTGAATTAGTATGTACTTATATTAGATTTATGCGACATCTACCGCAGTATCTCCTCCCCTCTCACATGAGTCCATTGTTAAGACAGTCCAGAAGATCGGACGGGAATAGGGTGCAGGCGGCTGGCGCGACGTGGACCCACACCCAGCAATGACATCCTCTCTGGTGTGTGCAGAAATTACCACTGACACTTCCACTACTATCATTTACAATAACACTGCTGGTACTACCAGTATCACTATTAAAACAACACGTAATACTAGTAGTGATGTTAATACGACCACCGCAACAGCAAGCAGCCTAATACTATTCTTAAAACGGGTTTCTTATACAGCCGCCTAATTATAGGAACTGCCGCGGAAGTTAACTGCGGTAAGGAGCCTTATTCAACAACTCCAATGTCCGCGGCTTCAATTCGTAAATGACAAAGCTGGGAATGGAGAAGGTGAGCAAACAGCAGAACAGGGAAGAAAATTATAGAAGGAAATTGTAAGCGAGACGCACTTGAAATGCAGAGGCCCGAATTACATTCTCAATCTGAGCTTTCTCCTCGAAGCGGATAGCCAACTAGAAAGGAGGGAAAGTAAATAAAATTTAACTTGGTCACGTAAAGGAAAAATCGGAATTGCGCAGAAGTGGAAAAAGTTATGAAAAAAAACTTACGTCTAGCCACTTCGTTATGATTTTTTCCGCCACAGCGGCAATGTATATACAAACGGGGTAGTTGAATCGGCCGTTGAATTCCTAGGAAGTCGACAAAAAGGTCTCAGGAAAGGGCTTTCAGTAAAAAAAATACAGTGCGAGGAAATTAGCATGGCCGACATAAGTATTCGCCAGTACTAACCCCTCCCCCTGCCCCAGAAAATGGTCAAACTACAATTATCGAATAGAGGACAACGAGTTTAACCGAGACGGTTTCATCGGAAGATGGCATTCACAAGTACTGAAAGACACAGATGCTGTAGGAGGGAATACCAAACAGCATCCCTCTGGTTGCAGTAAATTCTACAAAACTATCATCTGTATCACTTCGCTGATAATCTACTTTGCGTCCGGACGTCACCACGAAAAGTGGTTTCGGCCGAAATAACGATGTTTAGTATCTATCAGAGCTTAGTAGCTTATGCGGAGACCGGTGATCCCAACACTGTGTGGAGCCTGACCTCAGGTCAGCGTATTCGACGTGAATAACATGCGTACAGTCAATTCGGACAGATTCTATTAGCGAGGTAATATTGAAAGAGCAAAGTCAAAAATAAGGCTTCTCATGGGAACCAGCAAGTTATCCGCATAATACAATTTGTTTATTTTGCGATCTACAGAAACCGAGTATTTTCGAGAACTCCAACTCTTCCGGACATTATTTCATTTGATCGAGTTTTTTGGGCAAATATGTGAAATATTACAGTAACTTAT